GCTTGCAGACACTGAAGTCAACAAACAATCTTGCATGCAATGCTTGATTCTTAACTTGTATACTCCTCCAATCAAATCTGCAGTAGCCACTAGCTCACCCTTTTGGTTATAAATATAACAGTGCTTCTCATCAAATGTCACTTTGTTTCCTTTGCTAATTAACTTGCTGACAGATAACAAGTTCGTAGCTAAATTTGGCACATATAATACTCCCATCACTGTGTTCTCGTGTTCGGTATCCCCAACAACTGTAGATATTTTCACATCTCCACAGCCTTCAACGGAAATTCTCGTTTTATCGGCGATGACAATCTCTTGAACTTGGTGTTGATTTGTAGTGTTCAACAACCAGTCTTTATTAGATGTTAGATGACAGCTGGCACCGCTATCAACATACCAATCCGTTTGATTAAAATTACCACTGAGAAACACAGCACTGAATGCATTAGATTCATTTCCTTTTTGAGTATTTTTACATTTGTTCATAAAATGGCCGTATTGTTTACATTTAAAACATCTGACATTCGATTTGATGTTTTGTGATGACATTTGTCTTTGCGTGTGCGATTGATTTTTATTTCTATATTGCCAACCTTTCGTTGCAAACGCATTCTGTGTAGAACTTGTACCAACCTCATTTCCGTCCTCCATATCGAGTAACTTCGATTTAATGGCGTCGGCTGTCAACTCAATCCCTGAATGTTCCACCGCCATGATCATTGGTTCAAATTTTTCAGGCAATCCAGCTAGTAATAGGGATCCAATCCACTCGTCGCTGATTTTAAAACCTGTATTATTTAATCGCTGACTTGTTTCTAGCAGCAAGGTTACATATTGAGACATTGTTTCACAGTTATCTCGACGAATAGATATGAGGTTCCGAAGCAATCCGATGCGCCGCGTGTAGCCATTATCATCAAATAATTTCTTCAGCTTCTGCCATAGTCCCATTGCAGTTGATTCACTCTTTATATGCACGAATAAACTGGGATCTATAGTTAGAACTATCTTCGCTTTTGCTTTAGCGTCGTTCGGATCTCCACCAGTATAGATGCATTGTTGCATACCTTCCAATATAAGGTAGTTCTCCACGGCAAACGCCCAATCTTCATAATTATCTCTGCCTTTAAGCTTATTAATGGTTGCAATAAGATTTGACGACATTTTGCACTATATTTCCACCAAAATTTGCTAAAGGCCCATAACCTATAAATGATACACAATGATAGCTTGACAACAACTGCTTCAACTTTATTTCGAACAAAGGAAAGTACCTATAATAAAAACATAGATGGCGTTACTGATTACATTTTGTTACAAACTTAACAGTTTTTTAATGACTTTACAAATATACTGGTAATATAGAGGTACTTTCACTTAGATGTCAGTCATGTGATTAGTACCTTTTAACAGAGTATATAAATGGACTTGTTGCTTGCGACTTCGTCCGCGTCGAATATGATTCCTATTTTATCCCACGGAAGCATTTAATCAGGAATAAAAGTATTCAATCATCTTAGTCTACCAATTTCCTACCTGTTTACTAAATTTCATCAAAATCCGTTCAGAAGTTTCGGCGTGGTGGATGGATAAACGTCCAAACATACGAATAAAGAAACATTTTATGATACAAGTGTGATTGGACACATTGTTGTACTGTGATACTGCTGAGAATCCGTCTTTTCAAAAATCGTGTGGTAACTGATAGGAATCGATTTGCCCGTTGATTTATTGAGGGCCGAATATTCGTAATAAGTCCAAAAAAGTTCTATATTCTATTAGATTTCTTCTATAGGTACTAAACTCTAATCAACAAATTACCTAACCTCTCTTCACTGAATCGGTTTGAGCACATGTCTATAACTTAAGTTAATATTATTGATATTCTTTATGTCTGTTTGTCGTTCAATGGCTACATTCTTGTTGGTCATGCGATCGTTAGGTCCCTAATATATACGCATCTTAACATAATACTCAAGATACCCTACTGCATTATGTATGGGGAAAAATGTTCGGATAAGCAGTGATTGAGACTTGGATATTTTGTTTCCATCCTTATTCTTATAGAAGGAAGGTTTGTTTAAGGTTGTCAAAATGATCACCGTATTTTGGAGAACAATAATAATTAAAGTCAAGCTTTACCTTATAAATGTTTCTAGAATGTTCTTATATTGAATTGTTGGACATGATTATGTTTGTGATGAACTTGTCCCATTTATTTATGTCTTTAAAAGTTATTTTTCTTTTTTATTCCTATCAAATTCTCCCATAAGATAATACAGGATTCACATTCTACACGGGTAACAGTAGTCATTCATAAATACAGACGGCTATTCAAAAAACACCCTTATTATCTCTAAACAAATACTTCTTAGGCTTAGACTCAAGAACATAAATCGACCAGCTAATCCGTTAAACCTTAATACAATATGTTCATAAATTTCAAGGCCTTATAATACTAGAAAAGTTTGGGGTTGCATCCCTGCCCTGAGCTGTGACAAAAAGATAAATTAAATTACTCATTATCTGGCCTATTCGGTCGTTTAAACTGTCAAACACCAAGCGGTCACCGGTGACCGCAACCTATTGTTCTATAATTGTGTCTACAAAACCGGTACTCGACGAGTTAAATATCATTAAGCCTACAAAATACTTCAGGTGCAAAGCGAAGCAAATACCTTATATCGTGAGGTGATAGTGAATCTTTCTAGCTTTTAGACTTGATTTTGCCAACAATTAGTGATTAAAATATTGTCTTGGATTTGATGTGACTATACCTCTCTCATATACATATGTAGATGTTTTTATTGACTTCTTTGTCAGTATGGATATTAAAACTCTTCAAGTCCATTACTATTATCTATTTGAACTTCCATCGTGTTTTTATTATATTTCGGGGTCCAAACCCAGAGCAATAAACTTAATAGGGACTAGAAGAGGGGAGCTTAGTTCACCTCTGGCTACCCCTTTGACGTCCTTCTTCAAACATAAGATCCCCAAAGTTTAACCTATCTCCACAATTGTAATCTTACATCTGAAACAGATTCGCGTTCACTTTGCCCCTCTTCATTTCATAGATTGCATTTTAACTCGAGGGAATTCTTCAGATATTGCTTTACCTACTATTCTGCTTACCCACGTTAGACTAATACTATTAACTTGAATGGCATTCATCGAAAAGAACGTAGCGGTGCAATTTTATATATGAGAACGTTCTTAAAGAATCCACTAGAAACGGATCATTTGTGAAGAGAAATTTATCGACGAGTTTGGAGTAACAGCACAGAATGTTCTAGAATTATTTCTCTTTTAAAACCAATATTTAAAGAGTAACTTTAATATATCAAGAGATAATGTTACGTGAGTCATCCTATTAATATCCTAAATGATATAAATATAAAACGAGGCAACCCAACTTATGTAAAAGTAATCAGAATTACCGAACAACCTTAAAGTTGGTGGCCCACACCCGTTAACAAGTCAAAAATAGATTCAAAATTAATATAACCGTTGCCAAACAAGTTTCACGTCGCTACCCTTAGAGTTGAACAGAATTTACAAGCGGACCAATCATAACAAAGTTTGCCAATTTTTACTTTTTAAATCACATGCTGCGAATTTCTATCAGAGAACTGTCGTAAACAAAGCATAATTACTTCCAATCTTCCCAATTTCCTTATTAATCCCACCAGTTCGGATCTCAATATGGCGGAGAGAATGTTTATATAATTACTTGGGACCTTTTAAAGGCAGAGGAACCGATCGAACAATCTTTCAGAACTTCAAACAACTTCCAAGCGAAGTTAAATTGGCTCCCGAACGGATATTTTGTGTGCTCAACCGTATGGGGTGGAATGTTCGTCGGATGATCTTTATATCGTCGTAAAGGCGAGTAATTGAACCCAAGATACTTTAGGCCTTCGCGCCTTACAGTTCCAAGATCGAGGGACGCCGTTAAATGTGAGTGTGTACCAGCCTTTCAAGATGCTCAGAGTGCTTCTGTGGAACCCCAACGCGGCTGGTGATAAAAAATAATATCGGTGATTATGGCTTAAAGTCCTCATATTCTATGGTGATATTTTTATTCAAAATCTCCGATAATAACGTTATCTCTTATATTCCTGAAAAAATCGAGTGAGCTTTACTCGATTTCTGATATTCTTTTACCCAGACTTTACTGCAGTTGCGTAGATCGACTTATCATATCATATAACTCTTACTTCATAAGATACAAGTAATATTTTCAGTACCTAAATTTCGAGCTTATCCACAACGAACTTGGAACTTAAAATTATCTTCAAAAGCGGTTGAAAGCAATCCTTATAATAATGTTCTAAACCCCACAATGATCCTTATCTTTGGTACTTATACAATGCATAATTTGCTTAAACCCTTACATTGGGTTAACTTTCCAAAAAGAAAAGATAATCTTCAAAGAAAACACACACATCTATCCTGAATTACTTCTTATCCCGAATCGCTCTAAATACATAAGAGAACTCGTCTGGCAAAGTTTTCAGCGCAAGAATTTGGAATAGCCTGCCTGAACTTGGTAAGTGGATTAAAAGTCCGCTGAAATCATTCAGGGGCTAAGTCTGGACTCCCAGGCCAGTCCCTGAAAATCTAGACCTATTTTCAAGTTCGTTTAAAAGTGATTGAAAAAGAAAACAGCGCAAAAGGAATTGTAGATGACAAGATTTACTTTGTAAATATATAATTTGTTTCCAAAGTTATTCAAGAATTAGTTTTGTTGTTAATTTACAATTCAATAGTACTTTATTGGTTACTAGGAAAGAGACTGGCATTGTAAACTCAATATAATACAATTCTTAGAAAACGAATTTGTACGATTATGAAATATACATAGCCTTGTAATGATTCAGTTTGTTCTGAAATGCATTATCTTGTATTAATATTATTTTCTCACATCCATTGCACCTCTCATTGCAAAAGTGCAAGACAAGATCTAAGAAACGTGTATCTACATCAACAGAACTTACCTTGGGAGTGTTGACCTCGCGCGTGGAAATGCCCATTTTCTCGTGATGTCGCAGCTGCACGGGGTAAATGATCTGATAGTAGTGGGCACCGATATTCCGCACCAGCTCCTGGTTCTGGCGGTACTCTCGTAACAGCCGCTCAACTTCACCTGTAGACAATATATCGATAGATTATGTTGCGAATTCGTAAAGTCGACTGGGTGTTTGGACGTGTTTGGCAAAAGATATTTCGTTGAGAAACTATTGTATTACACAGTTTTGTCTTATTACACGAACATTATACATGTTAACAAATTATCATTCAATTTTATTTCCTGAAACAAAAACACAATGAGTACAGCTGTGTTATGTAGTAGATAATAAAAAGCAGTTTCGAATGGTAGAATACTTTTTTGGGGTAAATAAAAACTGAACCATTTACTTCACATCTTGGCTTACAGAAATAAAAAAGAATACTTTGGAAGACGTATACTCTACTAACACAAAATACAATTAAAACGTTTATACCAAAACTTAGAGAAGAAACTCAAACAATTTTCACTTTAAGTAACCCTAAAACCGCAACTCAATTCTCGGGTAAAAATAAAAGGTAACACCTGCATTTTGAGTTTAAGATCACCGGGTTATAAACGAGCAAAGGCTCTCTTTTATGATGGCCTTAAACCCAACAACGGCCAGCTAGATTGGAACTCATTTAGCTCATGAGTGCTACTTGCCAAGTTGAAGCTTGACATTTATATGGTCGCTACGGCCCCTGCGTTGCTGTTCTGGGGTTGAAACTCGGTGTAACGTTTTTGGGTCATGCGTTTTGATAGAGTAGTTTTGGTTTGGAATTCTGTCGATTGCTTTTAGACTATCATGTTGTTTATCTATGTACATATATATATTCCAAATAGAATATATAAATATTTTAGTTCAAGTCAAGAAATTCTCAAAATATTCTCTATAAACTAGAGGTAATTAAGCAGAGCTTTATTAGGACTTGGGACTCATATTACCTATTTTATTATCATCATTACACGACGACTATTGTCCGATTATGTATACTAGGTACATACGTCTACATCGTGCCCAGAAAATCTTAATAAAAAAACAGAAATATTTATTTTCATAATATTTATACGACCGTGATGTGGCACCACAGTCTCCACGCACTAACTCAAGCTTTCTGATTACTTGGTAAAAATATTAAAAAGTCAGGCAGGCAACACACGTGGGATTTGTTTCAGCTGAGAAGTAAGAATAACTTGGTCTGTTTGCACCTCACATTAAACAAAGAGGATTTATGCACGCTCGTAAAACAACTTCCCTCCAAGATCCTAATTGAATTAAACTACTTTGTTGTAATTGTGAGCTGAGACTAGACTCCTCCTCCGACTTCGTGTTTTAGAATTTGAATTTTGCCTAGTGACTTCAAGTGTGTCTGTAACAGAATTTTTGAATTCAAATTCCAGATTTTAATATTGCTGAAATCAGTGCTGCATTTGGGAATTATTTCTAACTTCATAAAATGATAAAGTGTATTTAATCGAGTGGTAGCAGTGTAGTGTAGATGTTTACATAAAGAAACAGGTTTCCGGTACTGACAATCTGAAAATCTGTATTGGTCGCCACACAATCAGTCGGCATCTGTTTCTTTTTTTTTTAATGTTGCCCCACACTTGGATTTTCTCCTGTGTCGTGGGTGCGTTTACAAACATACAAATTCACATACACAACATCACACTCAGACCCGAAACAACAATCTTTGGATCACACAAAGAGTTGTTCCGTCCGAGAATCGAACCTAAACACGTTGCGCGGCAGTCAGTTGCCCGGCCACCTCGCCAACCGTGCAAAATTGACTGAATATAATATATTTAAATATTATACGTGCACCGATAGGTACCGACTCTTATAGATTTTGTCTATATCGGAAACCTGTTTCCTTTTGCAAGCATCCTAACTGCGGTCAAAGTAGTTTCGGATTCTATTCAAAGTCAAAGTCAAAATCAAAGTGAAAGTCAAAGCATTTATTTCAATTAAACCATAATTTGGTACTTTTAAAACGTCAACAAATACACAATAAATAATAGTCTGTCAGTCAGTCCGTCAGTAAAGCTAGGTGAAGCTAGATGCTCATTCCAAAATGTAGATTCGAATGGAGAAGAACGAGCAAGAAACTCCATGCGTTACTCTTTTTAAAAAAGTATCTTCTACAATGTCTCTGATACATATTCCAATACTGTATACATATTGAGAACAATGCAAAGACACGCTTATTCTCGGATAGAGACAGATATGTAAAGATAAAAATTGAGCTGTAATAAATAAGTTGGAAGTACAGCTTAGTCCTATACAGAAAAACAGTTATGACAATATTAACAGCACTTAAACCAATTTCAATAAACCTGAGTTCCACATCAAAATCTCTCTACATCAATATCCGCACCTTGAGACCTTTGAATCTATAAAATATAGTAACCAGCTTCACCGCGGAAGACGAAGCCATCCATCATTTTGTATTCACTGTCATTCGCAGTGAATGCTCGTCGAGACACTTTTGTTAAGACGTTTTTGGTTCAAAGAGTGCGGATAATGTGCTCCGTAATAATAGAAGAAATAGCTCTTCAATGAATTTTCGGTATGGTTTTTAAGTGGGTTCAGAAAGGAGTATTTTGGGGTAATTGTTAGTTTAGATTGCTTTGCTGGTTGAATTGTAAATACAAATGCCAAGCAAGCTAATGAAAGTTTTTAGTAACCGGCTTTGAAGTTATAGAAGAAAATTCATTTTTAAATATCGCGTTGAATTCTTTTTTTCTTTAAAAGTCCCACACTAGCATTTTCTCCTGTGTCGTAGGTGCGTTTATAAACATATAAGTTCACATACACATGATACCCAGACCCGGAACAACAATCTGTGGATCACACAAAGAGTTGTTCCGTGAATTCCGGAATCGAACCCGCGACACGTTGCGCGGCAGTCAGTTGCCCAACTACTGCGCCAACCGTGCATTCAATTCAATTCATAAAGGTTTAGGTATCTATGTATGTGTATAAAGGTCAGACGATAAATGAAAGCACTTGTACTATTAAACTCACGTAGTGTATTCACCATAAAGATCGAGCAATCGAGCGCTACTGCGCATACTTAAATATAGGCTTGTAGGTTACACTTTTTTTTTTCTTGTTTTCTTTTTTTTTTTAAACGTTAACACTTACTACTAAAGTTTATACATGTGTTTGTGTGGTTATAACAATATAACCCCTACAATAGGCGTGTCGACAGGGTAAAAAAATCAAAAAAGTAATTAGTCCGTCATTAAGATCGCACGAAAATATCAGACACGTATTTTTTGTTTTATCAAAAATAACAGAAGAATACGTAGTTATTCCGCATTAAAGTTAGGGAGTGGGGGGTGTTGACGTCACACTTACGGAGAAATCGTACCTAATTGTGACGTCACGCGTCATTTTAACTCAAAATATCTACATGTTTTTTTGGATACGAGAAAAAAGAAAAAATACGTATCGAAGATTTTTAAAATATCTAAAAGACGGACAAAAAATTAAAAAATAGTCGCCATGCCTATTGCTATGCGATAGTCTGTGACTAACCCAAGTATTTTTTGAGACTATTTAAAAGAAACTTTCTATATAGAGTAGAGTTATATTCTCAAAGCAGTATAAATGAATTCTTTACCAATATCTATTCCAAAGAACATTCACACAACTGAAGTAAGAACTCAATACAAGACGATATTACGTACGTTTTCTTCATCTTCGAAACTAATTAGTGTTCATATCAATATAATTAGATTTCTACTCTATTAGATCTCTGCGGGCAACTCCGTCATATATAGACGTATATATTTCTATCACTAGCGAACAAAACCTATCATTCACCTAATTAATATAACATGTCGCGGCGTATACCATAATTAATTATTAATATATGATTGGCAGTTCTGGGACAGGCTTTCATTTGGCTCTATTGAGAGTTCGCCTACATACATCTATGTTGATACTTGAGTTGGGGTCTGATTGTTTTGAATCAGGGTGTATGGCTCCCACAATAGGGGATCGATTGATGGGTAGTTTCTTGGTTTGCCTGTCATTATGTTTATGTCAGTTCGACACAATGCATTTAGGGAGATACCCTCTTCTATCTAGTATGACACTCAATATTACTTCATCATAACTCGTTCATTAATATCACACATTAGTAAAAGCTACTTTATTTTCCCAAAAATGTCTCTGTGTCTACCCGAACCCTGTCGAACTAAAAAACACGAAACCTCGAAATCAGAGAGCTCAACAAAAAGCATGTTACGCCCGCAATAATCAGGGCGTGAGTCTCTCGTATCCCTATTTCGTAGCGACTGGAATACGCCGACATTGTCATATGCGAATTGGGGCGTACGCAAACGCGGCGTACCCGGCGTAGTACGAGAATACGCCATCTTGATGTTTTGATGTGTAATTAAATTGACACTGGCTGCTGCACCCGTGTGAGCATGGGAGAGTGTATTGTGCGGATTATCTGTATCATATTGTCGAGCATGAACTTGTTTCGTAGTCAGAGAGAATATGCGACTAATAGTGTTAATTTTCGTAGAAGTGGTGCGTTCGTAGTTTAGATTTTAGGTTGGAATATGAAGTACAGCATTTATACTGAGGTAATTCATTCTGTGCATAAACTTCATATATGTGACTAAATAAAGAGTACAAATTGCAAGCCTTGTCAATGAATAACAGAATATTACATTGTGCATTGGGCACAACTGATCAAAGTATATCATTTCAAGCCTAATTCTAATCATTTTTTTTACGAAATCTGAACAATTTCCCACGTAACCACAGCCAGTAATTTAGGCGCGTGATCTAAAAACGACCGGCATATTGATACGCATTTTGCGGCATCTCGAATACGTAATCAGCTCTAGGATTAAAGGGGTGTAAAACAAACGAAATTCGTAAACACAACACCCTTTTACATTAAGTCCGAACTAATAGTAAAGTCGGGTAATCCGTAACTTAATTTGGAACAAACTGCGGTTAGATCGAGAGCTGAGTGACGTGTTTGTGTTATCGAATGGTTCATGTGGGCGGTACACAGGACGCTGAAATTGAACAAGTTTTTTATCATTC